GAGGCTCTTGTCATGGCGTCCGCTTGGATGAGTCTGGTGCCTGCATGGTGTTCAAGTTCATAATTGAACTGGGACATGAATAGTTGCCATCTTGCTTGTCGTCTATTCAATCATTGTGGAGATCGGAAGTACGTGAGGTTCTTGTGATCGGTGAGGATCTTCGTGGCGCTTGGGTTTCCTTCTAGGTAGTGGCGCCACGCTTCGAGCGCTTGTACTATTGCCAGTAATTCCCTATCATAGATTTCGTAGTTGCGTTCTGCTGGGTTGAAGGATTGGGACAGGTAGGCGACTGGTAGCCAATCTCCGTTGATATCTTGTTGTCGGAGTACTGCTGCTGTTGTGAAAAGTGATGCATCTGCTTCAATGAGGAATGGCTTTGTGGCGTCCGGCATTAATAGAAGAGGTGCTGATGTAAATCGCTGTTTCAGCGTCTCGAAGGCTTTCTGACATTCGTCTGTCCAATTGAACGGCTTGTCTTTCTTGGTGAGTTCATTGAGCGGTTTTGCAATGTCTGAATAGTGGTCGATGAAGCGTCGATAGAAATTGCCGAATCCTAGAAATCCTCGAACTTGTTTGACGGTAGTCGGTATCGGCCAGTCCAATATTCCTTTGATTTTGACTGGGTCCATGGCAACTTGGTTGTGTGATACAAGTGCTCCAAGGAATTCGACTTGCCATGCATCAAAGGTGCATTTCTCAAGTTTGAGGAAAAGATCATTGTCGCGGAGTCTTTGAAGGATTCTTCGTGTTTGCTTTCTATGTTCATCTTGATTGGATGAATGAATAAGCATGTCATCCATATATATGACTAGCCATCCTTCGTTGACCATATCACGGAATAGGTCATTCATCATTGCTTGGAACGTTGCCGGAGAGTTGCATAGTCCAAAGAACATGACCGTTGGTTTGAATAGTCCTCTGTTCGTTTTGAAGGCTGCTTTCCATTGATCTCCATCTTTGATTCGTACGTTGTTGTATCCTGCTCGTAGATCAAGCTTAGTGAATATGCTGGATCCTTTGAGTTGATCGACAAGGTCTGAGATGAGAGGAAGTGGGTATGCATTTTTGATAGTGCCATCGTTCAAATACCGGTAGTCTTGGCATGGTCGTAGCGTTCCGTCTTTCTTTCCTACGAAGAAAAATGGTGAGGCCATTGGTGATTTTGATGGTCGTATGTAGCCTTTTCGCATATTCTCATCGAGGAATTCGTCGAGTTTCTGTTGTTCTAATGGAGATAACAGATAGACCTTGCAATCTTTAGGGATGAAATCTGGTTTCAGGTCGATGGCATGGTCGTATGGTCTTGATTCTGGAAACCGTTCGGCTGCTTGCTTTTCAAAGACGTCTTGATAGTCTTGATAAGCGGTTGGTAGTTCATTTTTTGTATTCTCCGTTGCCTGTTGTGCCATTGCCATTGCCGGGTTGATTTTTGCGTTAATCTATAAAGATGCTATGCTTTGGCCATTTCATCTGGTTCGGTGCACATGGTGTATGCGAAGGAATCTCCTTGGGTGTATGCGAGGATGTAGTCTCCTTCTTCGCATTGTTCGGCTTGTAGGATGGGTTCTGAGGCGACTATCGAGGCGATGTGTATAGACCGGTCCAGAGGTGCTCCTTTTCTGAGAAGATGTAGTACGTGTCGAGCTATTTCTTCTGGTCTGGCTTCTTGTATTGTTTTGGTGTCGGTAGACCCAAACCCTTTTGATTCTCGTTCAGTTCCCGGTAAGGTTTCGACTTGTTTGGGTTTTGCCATAGAGATTCGTTCGAGTACTAGTTGCGCCACTCGATCTCCTTTGATCACTTTGTGTTCTTCGATCCCGGAGTTGATGAGGAGTATGCGGATTTCTCCTGTATAGTCCCTGTCGATTACTCCTGCTCCTACGTCGATTCCCTTGACTGCTAGTCCGCTTCTTGGTGCGATTCGTCCATAGGTTCCTTCAGGAACTTGAGCGCTTAGCCCTGTTTTGATAAGCATGCAAGATTGAGGTGGTATTATCTGGTCTTCGCTTGCATAGAGATCAAGTCCTGCGGCTTCATCTGTTCCTCTAGTGGGTATTTGTCCTCCTTCCGAGATAGTGACCGCAAATTCTGTTTCTTCTCTAAGGAGTGCTGAGTCGTTGGATGGAAGAGCGTTGATGTTTTTTCCTTCATTATCTGGTAATTCCTCGATTTCGCATTTTTGAATTCTTTTTGAGAAGTCTAGAGTGCCTTTGTTCCAGTTGATGGATGGGTTTCTTTCTTGTAACCAGTCCATGCCGAGGATGATGTCTTGTTTGCCTAATTGGGTAACTAACAACCTTTCTTTGGTAGGTTGGTTTCCCACGTTCATGTCGATTTCGACTTCGTTGCGAATAAACCCCAATTCGTTCGGGGTTCCGTTGACATTGAATACTTTGATTGGTTTTTTCAAAGGTTTCTCTTGTAGTCCTAGCTCCTGGACTGTTCTTCGATTGATAAATTTGCCTTGTGCTCCTGAGTCGACTAGTGCAAGAACTTTTCCAACGGTTTCTTTTGCTCTGATTTGGATGGGAATACACATCGATTTTGATTGCATATCGGCAATTAATACAGAGGAGATTGATATTCTAAGAGGTGTTGACGTTGGGGCAACCCTCAGACATGAAAATCCGGATTAGCTTCGAGATAACGGGCGAAGAGATCCTTAGCATCTTCTTGAGATAGTTTGGTTACTTCTTTGACCAAATCTCTAGGTTCGTTGTCGAGATCAATGAGGTTGGGTTCCTCTCTGACCGTTGTAGTGCGGACATTGGTGGAATTTCCTTTATTCCATTGTCCTGATTTCTGGTTTGTCTGAGGACGGTTGCCTTGTTGCAAGCGATTGGGTTGGTATCTTCCTTGTTGGTCGCGTTGCTGGGGTTTCTTGGGCGAAGGACAATTTCTGGCAATATGTCCTTTGCCTTCGCAATTGAAGCATCGTCCTTCTCAGCGTGTTTGGTCTCGGGAAACGGCGTCGATGTCCATGGCATCGGGGTCGCGTTCCTGAGTTCTTCCTCCTCCTCCATTTCCTCCTGAGTGAGAGGTAGTTTTGTCGATCCTTCCCCTTTGTCTTCCTCGTCTGAGCTTGTCCCATTCTATTTCTGCGTTGTCCAGCTTGAGTGCTTCTTCTTGCCATCCTTGGAGTGTAGTTGGCTTCTTCTCTCGTTGGATGAGAGTCTTTGCAAGGACGGATTTGAGTCCTCCTGTATAGGTACGTTGGAGGTAGGTGTCTGTGCTTGGGTTGTTGTACTTGGCTTCTTTGACGAGTCGGTTAAATTCGACGTTGTAGTCATTGACTGAGTCGAAGTCTGACTGCATTATTCTGTCAAGTTTTACGATAGCGTCAACTTCGCTGTCCACCTTCTGAAAGGCTTTGGCGAAGTCTTCCTTGAATTTGGTCCATGTGGGCCAAGTTGTGCTGGCTTCATATTCGTCAAACTTGGTACGACACCAGTCATGTGACTTCTTCTCGGTGTTGTTGAGTACAAAGAGAATTTTCTTTGCATCCTTGGTTGTGTCTTTGCCTTTAAAGTAGATGTCGCAGTCTTTCAGGAAGTCTTGAATTCGCTGCGTGCCATCGAACTTTTGAGGCTTCGGAGTAGAGGCATGTTTGTTTGCTTTTTGAAGTGCCTCAATCATTTCTCGCATGAGAGTATTTGTGTCTGTCACCGTGGAGGGTGTCTGAAGTTGTCTGGTAACTTCGTATATTTCTTCCTGTCGTTCAGGTGGGATAGGTACGTCGAGATTCGGGAAGGGAATATCGAATGGTTCGAGTCTGATTTCTGGTACCTGAAGTGATCCTTGTACTTCGGGTGTTTCGTCGTCTACTTCGATAGAGGTAGAGGTTTCTGCCCTGCTGGGTGCTCGGCTATGTCTGCGAGATTGATCGTATGGGTGTGGTGTCTGTGGTCTGGATGGTGGTACGCTAGCGGATAGTTGAGTTGCTTGTTGGGCTTGTTCTTCTCTAAGCCTGGCTTCTTCGTTAAGCCTGTCCCTTTCTCAAATGAATTCTTCTTGTGCTGGGTCGCAGAGGACGAGTCCTTGTGGTACTCATACTGTTCCTTGATATGCGTAGTATCGGTTGGGGCAGAGTTGTTGAAAACAACGTCTCCAATGTTCTTCGTCGTATCGATGGTAGTCGTGCCTATTGTCAGGCCTAAAGTTATGTCTGTGTGCTGCTGTGGCGCAATCGTTCACCCCAGTTGCTTGTGGAGTAGTCGTCTTGACTATTCTTCGTGGCGTAGACCTGTCTTAGGTCCGCCTTGTTGAGAAGCTTTCAGCTAATGTTATGACAGAGGTTTCTTAGCAAGCCTGAAGCTTGTCTGATCGCCTTATCCGCAGATGAGGTTAGAGCAGAATAAAGAAATGTGAATATACGAAAGAGCTGAAAGCTGAAGTTCTACTGTACATGCGCGGGGTATATATACTACTGCTCATCCTAACCTAAGGACTAGTCTACTAGTCAAAGGGACTGCGGGTGAGTCAGTGGAGCTGCGCTCTATGAGTCGACGAAGGCTGTACTACTAAACTAGAGTCAGAGACGAAAAAAGGAAATGATATCCCACGCCACCATGCCCATCATAACAGTATGTTTGATAAAGCAAACCGGTGCTATATCTACATTGATATACTTGTTCCCAGAATGGTTACCTTTGTAAGCGAGGTTAGCTTTGCCAGGGCTGCCCAGGCTATATATGCCGCCGATTTTTTTGCTGATGGAGAAGTGTAGGACGAATCTCATACACATCCGACCTTTGGAGCAACTTAAAGCTCCTCGGATTTATGGCTGTCACTGCACATTATGCTGCAAAAGACGAAAATGGAAACCTCGTCATCCGTTCTCGTCTAATCGCGTTTCGTGCGGTGCCAGAGAATCATACCGGTGTCAATCTGGCCACAGTCTTCTACAGTATTCTCACTGAGTATGGCATCTCACACAAAGTAAGCATAATATTTCAACTTGATATTGAGTTACTGAGATTATCTTGATTCAGATTGGTCAGATAACACTAGACAATGCGTCGAATAATGACACCATGATGCGTGAGCTCGAGCGGCTGCTCTGCCGAGATGGCATCCCATTCCACCACGAGGGAAATCGCATACGGTAAGATATTCTGATATGAAACTGCGACTTTCAAACACTAAGTACTTCTCACACAGATGCTTCCCGCATATTATAAATATAGCAGTGAAAGCAGGGCTCAAGATGCTGACTAAGCTTCCGGCTGCCGATCGACAAAAGCAGCAAGATTCCAGCGATGTCAGTGACAACGACGACGACAATGACAATGAAGGCGAAGACGGTGGCCGTGATGTCCTCGATATAGCCTCTAATCCGGCGCTGCAAGCTGACCCAGCATACCATGACGCTCTGACGAACGATCCGGTTAGTGATGTGCGGGCTCGGCTCAAAGCCCACAAGCCCGTCAAGCCCGGCCCAAAAAAGCCTGACCCAAGCCAGGCCTGGGCTTGAGATGAAGTCAAGCCTGAGCCCGGCCCGAAAGCCCAGGCTTGGGTGCACCAAATGTGTTGCCGTTCCCTGGGCTCAAAACATGGTAAGAACGACTTTATATATGCATATGAGACAAAACGTTGACTTACCAGACGAGGCGATCCCTGCTAGTGTGACTAAGCGCGATTGTGCGCCGCCGCCTGGCGTTCTCCGTAGGCGCCCCTTCGCGAACCTTGTCATAACATGGCTCGTAGCGCGGTCGCATGCCCTCTGGAGGCTGAAGTACGGTGAGTACATGCAATAGTAGCCTATCACATGCAAATATGCTCACTTTTGTAGCATACAAATACTTATCCTAAGCTTGGCAAGCCCGGGCTTAAGCCCACGGCTTGGGCCGGGCTCAGGCTCGGCTCGGGCTCAGGGCTCGGCTCGACGTCGCCACAGCCCAAGCCCGGGCTTTGAG